ATTTGTGTGAAGGGAGTGGGAGAGGGATGAGAGAAGTGAGGAATTTATCTATAAGGTGTGAGCGGAAATTTGTTGAGCGGGAAAATGTTTTTGCTATAAAGTATTGCAATTATGTAGAGTGATTTATGATATTTTAAATTCAATTGTGTTTTCTTATTAAAATAAATCAATAATCATAGTTTATTGTGAGCTTCCATAATAGCACAACACGTGTTTGAAATATTTCCAATATATTTTATTATGCTCTTGAACTAAATTAAACAAATGTCGATGATCATTACTACAATTCTAATTTGTTAATATCTCCATTTACTAAGACATCATATCTCTTCTTATGGTACATCAAAGAAGAAGAAGAAATTGTATGATTGTTAATCATATTTTTTGGAACATTTTTGTCAAACCATGAGAACTAATTTGGTTGCAAAAATACATTCCCACTAGTTCAATTGTATTGGGCATTCAAGAGCATGCATTGATACCCACACATTCTTGCTTATAATATGATCTACTTATGAGATATGTATATAGTAAATTTGTCAAATGAATGTTGCAATATACGGAGTATTTGATAATACGTAAGCTAATGATATGTTTAATTTAATATATCTCGCGATATGAATCTCAGATGAGATATCGATTATTATTTTTGCTCTCGAAGTAGCATTCTCTAAAGTTATTTTGTAATTTATTGTCTAATGTGCTCTTAGTAGCATTTTATTGCCTTGATTATGAATGATGAAATTTTTTAGCAGTTCACTAACATATCATTACCTTTTGGAAATTTTATCAATTCATTAACATTTCATTGAATTTCTAATCCTTATTTGTATTACTATATATATATATTCATTCTACTTTAATTTGAATTTATGTAAGCATTAAAGAAAAATGAATTGGAGGTTACATGTACGTTCCACATATATCTATTAAGAACTTGGTGATTTTGGAACATAATATGATTACTTTTATATGATAAACTTGATTGTTGAATATTGATCGATAAGTTGATGTGACTAGTATAGCTTCAATGTTTTATAAAACATTCAAGTAAGTGATATAGACTTCAAATATATTTGAAATATAGTCAAATATTGCTACTGATACACAAATAATGCCTAGAAAATCACAATTTAATGCAATTATGTATAATGATTAGCTCAAGTTAATCTACTCGAGAGAGGGAAAAAATAAATAAAATTTTAGGAATGGAAATATGAAATTATAAGAAAGTCACTATAAGAGTATAAATTTGATGTACAAGTGGGTGTGTTGTGAACATGAAATTCCCACATCGTTTACACACAAGATAGTGTGTGTGTGTGTTTATAAGCAGGGCTTGTAGCCCTTTATGTGGATGCGTTTTAAAGCCGAGAGGTCCTGAAGTATCAAAACATACAATATCCACAAACTGTTTATAACACGTCAAGATAAATTTTATGACTTTATATAAATTTTACACAAATATGATTATTTTATCACTTTTGTGTTACTTCAAGAGTAGTGTTAACTAATTGTTACTTTCTATATGCATCATTAGATGCGTGATCCATATTATTTCTATGAAAGTAAGAGATCATTAATTGATTTAGAGATAGATTACCTTTGTCCTAAAAGTTGATAAGTTAATGCCTAAAGCATATATATACTTGTCATAAAGCCCGACATATTTAAATCCTATTTGTAGGATATAATGCCTGAAGCATGTGTATACTTGAGAGAATCTTATAGATTAGAATTTTAATCCTATTTTAAGGGTAATAAGTATTAGAAGCACAAATTATATTTATAAACAAGTTGTGCACATAAATAATAATAATAATAATAATAATAATAATAAAATCTCAGGCATTGAGTGTAAGCTCAAAGAAGCTACTCAAACATTGCAAAGTAATAGTTTGAAAAGTGGTATCATACTTATTGGGTGATAGTTTGAGACCATACCAGCGTAGTGTAAATTGTGTTTCCTTAATATCTGCCAGTAGCAGAATTCTCCTTATTCTGTATTGTATATACTTGAATAATTTAGACACATGTTGCATGAAGTTTAAGATTTTTGAATAAATGACCACTTTAAGGTCAACCCAGGTTTACACCACATGCCGTATAAGACATCCATAATATAAATACTTCTTAGATAAGAAAATGGCAAGACCGTCTATTCTCCCAATATTGTAAAGTGGATCCATGAGAGTTAAGTGAACTTGAAGTTTCACAATGTGGGATAATAATATTAAACTTGGTCTCAAGATATGCTCTCTTGAAATGTTGACATGTATTGAGTGGTATAAGACCACTTTGCCGGCTTTTATGAAATATAGTGAAGAGCATAAAGTAACCCGCATAATATATCTAACATTATAAGATGAATGTTTTGCCCGAGATAAATTGCTAGAAAGTTTCCCAAATATATGAAGAAAATTTAATTTATATTAATTCGGCATTTGTTAATAACTAACCCCCAAAAGTTTACACGTTTAAATGAGCCAAAATGTGCCAACATTGAAACCCCATTATAGAAACAATGCACTTGGGCCCCAGAAGTGGTTCCATATATATGCATGTAAATCCTTGTTCAAAAACATCATTATGGCACAATTTCCGACATTAGGGGGAGATATAAAGGCATAAGCATAAATATATTATGGTTGGAATGTCGGAAAAATATCCCAGAAGGATTGAACGATATGAAAAGAGAAACGTGTAAAGTATGATAAGTAAACTGCCAAAGTGACTAAAATAAGTTATTGCAAAGTTTGAGCTCAACCAATGCATGAAGCATGGTTAAACGGTCATTATGAGTATATAAAATAAAACCGGTTTTTATTACAATAAGTCACTAATGCCTCTACAAGAGGATGATATAAGTTAAATACTGCAGCTGATACGTATTAGAAACTACATGATACAGAACATAAGTTCCTCTTTTATGGCTCATATAGAGGACTTTGATTTGATGATACAGGAATCATATGGATTAAGATTGACGTCAATGACTTGTTAAATTAGAATACTCTCAAAGTTTATATTTTTTACATGTTTTAATTACTCTCATTTTCGTTGATTAAATTAGAATAGTTAGTTAAATATCTTATATTTTTTTTATTATTGTTATTGTGGTGGTGGTTATTATTGATATTATATTATTATTGTTGTTGTTGTTGTTACTACTACTAATAATTTTTTTTTTATTTTTTTAATAACGGTTCCTTAACGGTTCCATGCACATATTTTTTATAGGAACCGGGAACCGAACCGTTATAACTCGTTTCGGTTCGGTTCCTACAAATGAGATATTAATTGTTAACGGTTCGGTTCCTATATGTTGTTAACGGTTCGGTTACAATCGGTTCTACGGTTCCCGGTTCCAAAATCCCACCCCTACTTCCTTTGGCTGGTGAGACTCAAAAAGCCGAAATTAGAAACGCTGGAGGTGGCCGTGTTTAGGACCGGCTGATCCATTAAATTCTTTTTATACCCTTATTAAACAAATCCACTATTTTATATACCCAGCTCTTCACCTATTTCTTGGGGCATGCAATTCCGGAAGGCAAAAAGGGAAGTGCAAAATCATATCAATAAACTACAAATCGATGTTCTTCACTTTCAGATGAACTGCGTGAATGAGGATAGTAAAGAAAAACAGACCAAAGAAATACTCCGTAATAAGCAAACAAAAGAGGACAACGAAGATGTTTCAAATTGAAATCAGATTAAGCTCAAGATCCATACCTTCGAATTAGAAGCTTAGAACGAAGATGTTTCAAATTTACTTGTCATAATATGATGTTATATTTTGTTGAGATTATCTATTCCAATATATCAATTTTTAATACGGTATGCCAATATATATAGTCGTGTCCTTATGCGTCTTTTTGTACTCAAACAGCTGTTTACAAGAGCTAATTTTACCAAACATTTATTACAAAAAAATCTAACATAATCAGCCAATCAAAACAGCTAACACAACCAGCTGTGATCAAACAGCTGACACAACCAGCTAACAGCTAACAGCTAACAGCCGATTGCCAAACAAGGCCTATCATTAGGAGCCCGTTTGGTGACCCATTCTTTCGGTTTATCAGGCTTATCAGCCAGCTTTTTCATCAAACATGTAACTTTTAATTTCACGCGCTGAATTTTGTAATAAACAGAAAAAGTAAGGTTGAAGTTACTTTTATGGCTGTATTGGCTAAAGTTACTGTAGAGGATCATTTTAGCTATATTTCAGATAATTTTTTATTTAATTTATTAATAAAAAAATATTTTAAATATAATTTTTTCATGAATTTGCAGAATCAGGTAATACAACCACTTCAGCCAAAATTTCATAAATTTCAGCAGAATCAGCCAATTCAGAGAATTTTAGTGTTACCAAACGGGCTCTAAGTTGTTAGTTACTATTGCTACTTAATTAGTTTATTTATTAATACATATATACCGGAGTACTATTTTGGGACTCTTTTAGTTGCAACATTGGACTTTTTGCACTATTCACATATTATATATTACATTTTATTTATTAAATGTATCATAAGTTAAACTTTTAAAAAATATTTTTAAATCCTTCTCATTTAAAATTTTCAAAATCTAGATTTTTTAATATTTTTTACTAATAAGGAATGAAAAATATTAATGATCAAACTTGTGCGTTGGTAAGCGTGAAAAGTGGATTGTTGCAATTAAAAAGGAACGGAGGAAGTATATACCATCATAACATTGATATTTTAGTATATGTTGTACTAATCGTACAATATAATATATGAATCCTTCCAGACAATTAACTCCGCAATAATGTAGTATAGTCTAATAATGTTGTTGTTGTTTTTGCTACTTCAGAGAGAAAGTCCACATGACAAACTATTTTGGAACGGACATACTTAATAATTACATTAAATTTTTTGAGTTTATTAAAATTTATTTTAATATCAAACTATATTCTTCAAAAAATAAAATCATCAAACTATAAAAACAAAAAATGCTAAATACTCGGTATTACTATTACCTAAAGGCTAAATGTACACGTGGCTTTCAAAATGTCTAAAGAGCATTGGCCATGACTAGATAACTAAGACCAACGCGGAATTAATATACATTTAGGATTTGACAGCCCAAATCCCGCTATTTGAGAAATCCCCAAAAATATCCCGTATTTTTACCATGTCAAGCATTTCCCACTAAATATGACCTCATTTTTTAGAACACCATCCAACTAAAAAATGGGGTTTCATCTACTCTTAAATATATGTATAGGGAAAACTGTTAATTACGCCCTCGTACTATACGCGAATCTTCAATTACGCCCTGTACTTTGGAAACAATCAATTGAGCCCGTCAAGTCTCCGAAAACACTCAATTAAGTCTATATTACCGGTTGTCTCCCGGTTTGCCTATTGCTCGCTGAGCTGAACGCTTACGTGGAGGTCATCTAATACACTCAGTCAATATTTTTTAACACATCAGTCTCTTTCCTTTTCCCTATCCTTTCCCATCCTTCCCTATCCTTCGGTTCCTTCACCAACATCTCCATAGCCCGGCGGCGGAGATGAACAGTTTGAAACACAGCAGCATCTTCAGCCATCTTGTTCCATTCCATGACTTTCTTCCTCATCTCCCTCCCCTTTCCCCCCTCAATCAATTCCCTCACAAGCCCCTTCCCTTTCTCCCTCTTCACATCCCTGTCAATCTCCATTCCAATTCCCAAGTCCGTGCAAGCCATCCGGCAGTTCGTTGGCTGCTCTGCAAAAAAAGACCCGCAGAGCATCGGCACGTCGTTGCAGATGCCCTCCACCTTCGAGTTCCAGCAGAGCCCTTATACTTTTGAACACATCAGCTCCTTTCTTTCCCCAACATGCTCCGACCATAGCCCTTCCGCGTTTAAGAAATTTGGTCCGTACTCCGTAGAGCTAGAGACAGAGAATAAGGAGGTTACGAAATAGAGAGCAGATTTACAACTAATCCAATTTCATCCACTCAAACAAAGAAAGAAGATACCAGGGAGTTTCCACCCAACTTTGTGCTTCCGATGGAGATAAAGATTGAAGGTGGAAAACTGATTTTGTGGGGAGAGAGAGAATATTAGTAGCTGGTGCCTGGTGTAAGGATAGTCATCTCCGCCGTCGACTTTTCCGGTCAGTTTCCTCTGCTTTCTAAAAGCTAATGAAAGAAGGGTAGTCACCAACAAGGCAACAATCCACCCAACAACATAAAATTCCACTTCTTTTACCGAGATTTAGCTGCACCCTCATCTCCTCACCCTTCTTATATTGTTCTTTGTACTCTGTTTACCAGCGATGGCGGCTTCCCTTCTTCACAGACCTTCGAATAAAGGTGGTTAGGGGCTTAGGGCTACGGAGCAGTGTTGGGGAAGGATAGAGTAGGTGGCTGAGGTGTTTAAAAAATATTAACTCAGCTTACTAGAGAGGTAAATGACCTCCACGTAAGCTGCGAGATCAGTGGGCAACAGGCAAACCGGGAGACACCCGGTTACAAAGCCTTAATTGAATGTTTTTGAAGAGTTGACGGGCTCAATTGAGTGTTTCTAAAGTACAAGGACGTAATTGACGGTTCGCCCATAGTACGATGATGTTTGAGTATTGTGAGGCACTGACAGCCCAAAGACAATAATATAAATTGGTAATTTTGTAATTAAAAGAATAAAAAATCTTAACAGCTATAAAGATGTGAAGAGACATGTTTTTATTGATTCAACAACAAATGTGTTGACTTAGAACCAGGTCTATTTAAAAATCAAAACTAAATTTATATTCTTTCTAAAAACTTGTCTGGCTCTGTTAAAGACTTTTTACTTTTTTTTTATCATCAAAGACTTTTTACTTATATTTTAAGATTCTCAAATTGTCAACAAAAATTACACATTAGACCTAATTAATTAATTGAAATTATAAATAAAAAAAGAAGCCTACTCAGGTTACATATAAAGAAAAAAAATTGGGCCTAATTTTCTTTCTACTTTTTTTCGGGCCTAGGGCGGTCGCCCTTGCTGCCCTCCCCCTAGGACCGGCCCTGGGACTAAGGATGTTTTCTTTTGGACTGTTTTCACTCTCAGACCAGACCAGACCAGATCAGACTTCCGTAGTTATAAAATACACAGAGACCAGACATTTACTAGACCAGACCAGACCAGACCAGAACAGATCAGACCAGACCAACAAATTTCGATCCAAAAGAAAACATCCTAATAATAATATAAGCAAGCAACGTAACAACAATATAATCAAAATACAACACAATGTAAAAAATGAAAATACAAAACTCTGAAATAGGGATACGAAACAGAAAAGTGTTTTTTTTACTACAGAGAAGTTACTAATCTATATTGTATTTAATTCAAAAATAATATAGGCGAATCTACATGTAAAAAAGTTTCCACTATGTTGCAACACAAATATGTAAATACTCCGTCCGATTCAAAATCAAGTTCCACATTTGACTTCAGACATATTAAGAAAAGAAATTTGACTTTACTGTGGAGTGCACTGTTTGGACAATGTTTGACATTGTTTGACACTGTTTGGAACTGTTTTGATGTAGATAATTTGTCAAATAAGGAAAGGTTTGAAAGTGAAACTTAATTTTGGAACTGCCTGAAAAGGAAAGGTGGAACTTGTTTTTAAATCGGAGGGAGTATATAAATAGTATAACGAACAAACCGCTAAGCAGAAGGGCAAAACGCTGCCCCACTTGGCATTTTCTCATTCGGCTGTTTGGTATCAATCAAGTGAGGGCTTGTTTGCAAACTCTTAAATTAAGTGCTTGTATTTTCTTTAAGAAAAAAACACTTATTATATTAAACACTATCAACTTTTACTTTTCTCGAATTTCATGTAAAATCTATTTTTTACTTTTCTATTACACAAAAGCACTTATTTTATCAAACACTACCAACTTTTACTACTAATCACTTTTTCCGAAAAGTGTTTTTATTTAAACACAAGCACTTGTAAATAAAGCCTAAATGATACAGCTATTCACGAAACAAGTTTTGTTGTTGTTTGACTAATTCAATTAGCTATTTTCAATCAAAGCAGCTATATATCAGTTAATCAACCATTACTCACTATCAAAAAACTTAGTTATAGGCACAGAAATTTGGTAACTATTTTCAGTTAAAGTTACCTAGTACTACGTACTTTGTATTATTCTTTTATTAATAAAATATGTCTTGTTGAGGATTATAAAAAACATAGAGGAAAATGAAATACTCCGTATATACTGCTACTTCCGCCCCAATTTATTTTGCAACGTCAAAATTTCTTAATAATTCAATTTTAATAATAAAAATATACATATTAAAAAATTACATTAAAATCTATATTAAATTGCAAAAACCAAATTAAAATTTAATTAACAATAATTGATATTGTAATTATGTGATTAAAATAAGAAAATATTATCCAAGAAGTCAAATTTTTGCAAATCCATTTGGGAAATGCCAAGAAGGGAGTAGGTATTAGGGTATTACAATTACGCTTATTTAGTATTCACAAATAATTTTAGTCGGCTAATAGCCGTTATTTTTACTGTTTGTTTTTTGGAAATCCGTTATTTTTACTGTTAGTAATCTTTTTTATATATATTCGTCAGTCGTCACCCAAGCACGCATTACATTTTCGGTATCAAGATATTGCGTACACACTGACTCTCGACCAATCCTTATATATATACTTCATGATTCATGAACAACAGCTAATCAAAGTATCTCACTACACTATCCCTGCACTATATTTATAAATATACATCCACTTTAGCTTGCTACATCCAAGATCGAAGAAGCAAGTCTAGACTCCTCCAGACTCCTGCATCAAAGGTAAACTCCCGGCCTTCTACACTCATTACTAGCTAGCTAGATATTTTACGCATAATCATATCGTAGAGAAGGATAGCCGTGGGGGAGCTGGGTAGAGCTATGAAATCACGTACCATATAATAGAAGGAAAATAAAATGCAGAAGCGGGGGAAAAGGAAGGACGGTTCACGTAGGTAGAATAACGTACAGTACATTTCCTGGACTTTGACCGGTTAGCCAACCCGGTTGTGGGCCGGACTTTCACGTAGGTACAATCGTCACGTAGTATTATTTTTACAAATTAATTTATAAATTGTTATTTTAGTGCTTATAAATTGGGATATTAATCGTGGATAATACTACGTAGATATTAACCATTTAGCATAACACTGGAAGATATAGATAAGTTTGTTAAAGATTCATGAAAAGTTATTAGAATGAATATAAAATGAACAAAGGCTAGGGTACATTAGTTATGTGAAGTCGAGAGCTGTGGAGACATTCTAAGATGTATGGGAGCTCAACATAGTGATCAACGTCTATAGTAATTGACCGGAAAAATCCATGAAATTTAACTTGATTTAATTAAGGGAGTGTGCATCCTACTCAATATATGATATGATTTTACCACAAAAACTCCCATTTTTTTATGTTACCACAAAACTGCCATTTTTTGTTTTCTCTTTACCCTAACTTCAATATATACACGCTAAATTTGATATAGAGATTCAGATTTATGTTCTTGCAAGAACATTTATTAGACTTAGGGGTTTAGGGGTACTAATTTAAGGGAGTATAAGATCAGATAAAACATAATTTTTGTATTTTGATTCCCGGGAGTTAGACTTAGGGGTACGAATTTACGGAAACTGCGGGTTCCGTTTTCTACCCATTTTCGAATGGGCTATTCCAGATTGCATGTGTGAAGGTGGTCACAGATGTCAGCTGCAGGAGCACAAGAGATCGTCAGAAATGTCAGACAGCATATATACATCTCGAATGTAATACCGGAATTGAAAAGGGGTTTGGAATTGAAAAAGGGTTTGGACAAGGATTTATGGAAAAAGTATTATTCGAAATCCTTTATTCCGAATGGCTGTTTTTTTCAATTTTAGAAGCATTCGGATGGATCCCCACAATTCCGAATAAGATGTTTGTAGTTTTTGAATGGCTTTGAATGCAATGATTTTCATTTGTAAGGCTATTTCAAGTTGGCAGGTTATCTGCAATGGTATGTATCTTTTGTAATTTCAAGTTGGCAGGTAATGTGCAATCCGTTCTAAATAATTTGTGATGCTGCTTTTCTCATGTTTTTTTTGCTTTCAGGAATGAGGAGTTGAGCACACCTGAGGTAGCCATTAGCTCAGAATCGAAACTTCCTCCAAAATGACCCATCGACTTATATTTGGTTTTATAGTATTAGGAATTATGACTAGTAGTAGGTTCAGGTATTAATGATATGGTAGAAGAAATTGTTTGTTTCAATTTATATAAAATAATTGATATTGGAAGTGGCAGGAAGGGATGTTTTTGTCATGGCTAGGGATTGCAAATCTGCAGAGGAAGGAGGAGGATGAATGTTTTGCAGAATTGCAGATTTCAGTATTCCACCCTTGCACTGGATCAAGCTTGTAAGTTTATCTACTTTACATCTTATGATATTTTATTAGGCTGTTGAGAAAAATCTTTACTATATCTTGCAATATGCAAAATGTAGCCTCCAAATCGATATTGAAAATTATTAAGATGCAAATACACTTCTTAGACACCTGTATCATTCATATAATCTCAATCACTACCTTATGTTTTGTTTGATTTATTGATTGTTCGTTGCTAGTAATTTGATCTGCGTTTATGTGATGTTGTGCAGGTTTCGGGAAGTGAAGTCTACTAATGTTAGAGCAGTTTGAGTATAGAAAGATTAAACAATCGTGTTGCTATTACTTACTTCCTTTTTCAATTCACTTGTAGATGTACGAAAAACAAGTTTATTTATTTCTTTTTTAACATTGTTATTCTTTCAAAAAACATTGTTATATTATAATTGAAATTCTAGTATTAGTGTCTATTTATTCATTGGATACAATAATATGTTACTCCGTACTTTTATTTTTATTTTTGTTGCTTTTTGTTTCATCGTGTAGCTTTTTGTTGCATCTCATGTGTTGCTTTTTGTTATATCATGTTGCTTTTTGTTTAATATTTTGAACATTTAGTTTTTTTCTTCATGTTTACGTATATTTCAATTTTTAGTTTTTTTTGTCTACCATGACTCTGTATAAATATGTGTATTTTTGCTTGCCACAAACACCTTAAATAATAATATTTATTTCTGAAATAAATAACAATAAGAAACAAGAATAAACAATCAGAAACAAAAAATTTAAAGTAATCAACAATAATAAACAATATGCAACAAAAAGGGTGACAATGAAATAATAATAACAATAATTGAATCTTGTAACTATTTAAAAGAAAATATTAAATTAAAATTTATACATACTCTTTTTTTTTCATTTTTTACTTCGTTTTAACATTTTTATTATTTTAAATTTCATTCCAACTTTTTATATTTTAAACGTTTTTTAGTATATTTTTCCCTTCATTTTATAAAATTAAAATATCTTATTTTCTATTTCTTTTTATTGGTAAAGTAAAATTTGAACTCTTTGGATGTTTTCAAATTTTGTATTGTATATATTCTGATGTTAAAAAATTACTCTCACAAAAATTTCTATCTACTTTTGATATTTTATACTAGTAATTACAAAAAATGATATTATGATATTAACAAAAAAATATGATATCTCTTTTGAATGATGGAAAAAACTATTTCTATTTTTTCACTTTTTTAGATGGCAATTTTGCCTAAATTCTTTTCTATTTTTAAGTTTTAACATCCTCATTGTTTGTGTTTTGTCTT